CCCATCTGAGTCCAGTGGGTCTGCAGCTGGGTCTCCCACTGGTCCCATCGAGTGTTCTGCTGGGTCTCCCAGCTGGTCCACTGCGTGGTCTGTCGGCTCTCGAGGGCAGCCCATCTGCTGTCCTGGGCGTCAAAGCGATCGTGGATAGAGCGGATGTCGGCTGTGTACTGAGTCTGAAAAGTGAACCACCATTCCGGTGGCTGCTGCGGGAGAATCTCCGGGTGAGGGTGCGGAGCCGGCGTCCAATCGGGTGGAGGCGGAAGTAAATGGTCCTCGTCAATATGCATCTGCTCATGCTCGTCGCCCTCCGTCGGATGCCGAGACGATCCTGCCTGAGTGGAGTGAGGCGGACCCTACTGGAGCTTCTTAAAATAGGTCTCGTAGGCAGTACGCCGGTTCAGAATAAGGTCAGCCTGCTTGAGCTCGTTAAAGTTGATACACCGCATCTTAGACTTGTCTTGAAGCGCCATCTCCCCATGTAGTCTGTATGCTTCTGGAGTGACGTCAAAGTGGTGAGCGAGTGCGGTAACAAAATGTCCGAGCGCCGGTAGTCCATGCTTGGAGAGGGCAATCTCCTGGAAAGAGTTCTGAAGGAAGGTCATGGAACACACTCGCACTCCCGACCGCATCGCCCAGAGGAGAAAAAGCTCACCCTCACTGACTTTGTTCGCCTCCTTTTTGCCGGTGATATTGAAGCAGATGAACCGGTGCACAACGGCAGTGGCCAGGTCCTGGATAAGCCCGTTGGACATACCAGCGGAATCCCACGTCGTATGCGGGGAGAGCTCGGCCCAACTCTTGTGGGGATCAAAATCGGCGGCTTTGCTTCGTGTACCGGCAAAGTTGAACCCGCAAACCGCCTTCATCACGGCATTGTCCACCACGAGTTCTTGTCCCTTAAGCCGACAAGTGAAGAAGTCGTTCCCATCGGCGAGAACGAAAGAACTGTAGAACTCAAGCATAAGGGTCCCGTACGACCTCTCCTCAATCTTAGCGTAGTCGGTTAAGTTCAAGACCTTGAGGTACTTCATCACGTCCTCCAGGATACCCAAATCGTTCAAAAGGTCCCAGTCCACCGCCTTGGGTCTCACGACCTCCTTTTGCGAGAGACGGGCATAAATCTCGCCCTCCTTCCGAGAATAAATCGGGAACGGGGCCCCGTATTGGTCCGAAAGATCATCTCGTGCACCTTCCGGAGGGGCGTCTCGAGAGGAGGATTCGCCCGCTTTGCGCTTCTTAGCCGGGTCTTGAGCGGTGTTCTTCTTGGTGGAACGAAACGGATTCTTGCCCATTTGAGCGTTCTATCGAACAATATATCGAACACGTGGCGTGCGGTATTTTGAACTAAAGGCTTGTGAGCAATTCGAAATGGCTCGATCCCGGAGGTGGCCTCCTCACGCCTCAACAATCAACTCACTTCAAGAAGAGTAAGCTATCGGTACCTTTTGGTGCGAGTTCGGGCCGAAAATTGACAAACCACGGGCTAAGGATGAAGAATTAGTGCGGAACGAATTTGAACCGTCGGGACACGTGGTCGGATGCCGCCCGATTATGGAGGAGGAGACGCCGGAGAGATTCGCCGGAGAACTCGCCAGAAGGACGACTGCGAAGGTGACGCGCGTGTAGGATGCGCTAGGGTTCCCAGAGATAACGTGAAAAAGCTCGAAAAGTGTCGTGCAAAAATCGCGAAGGTAAAGCTCGTGATATGGACGATCACTCTCCGAAAATCGCAAGGGATTGGTAAGGGATCGAAGCTGGAGAAGGAGGTCGTCGTGAGAAATCGTTCCCAAATGAAAGAGGTGAAAGTGAGCGTTCAACCGCAGTAAGGGATTTAATCGAACCGTTGCGGGCGCCGCGGCCGCGACGTCTCCCGCGGCCGCGAGCTTTTTGATGCTGAAATGCCGAGTTCGCACCTGAATCGTCGCCGCGGCCGCGGCGAAGAAACAGCTCACGGCCGCGACCCTACTCCGCGGTCGTGAGGTTGCTCCGCGGCCGCGAGATTTTGGAAGCAGGACTTCGAGCCAATGGACCGAGAAAAATGTCGCCGCTGCCTCGGTGAAGAAAGGTTCCGCGGCCGCGACCTTCCTCCACGGTCGCGGGAAAGCTTCGAGGCCGCGAACAATTACCTGCAGAAATCTATGGCAAGAGCAGAAAAATGGTCGCCGCGGCCGCGGCTAAGGAAAATCCCGCGGCCCGCGGCGACAAAATATATATATATTTTTTTTAATGTTATTTATATATATATGTAAAAGAAAACAAAATGAATACACCGCAGTACAAGGATACTCGATTTAATGCCAGGAGCGCGGCATAATGGCTTGATCACGCATATATAGGGTCGCCGAGAATGACGGTCTCGACATGTCGCTTCCCGAACTCACCATCAACATATGGCTTCACTCTCTGCCCGTTAACCAAGAATACATCGTTGTTTGCTGGATTACGCAAACGGACGGCCCTAAATGACAACACTTCATCAACGATATACGGTCCACTCCAACGTGATTTGAGCTTCCCGGGAAAAAGACGAAGGCGAGAATTGAAATGAAGTACCTTCATTCCGGGCTCGAGGTTCTTCCGAACAAGAGTGGTACTCATGGAGCCTTTTTGTCTTCTCCTTGTAGATTTTGGAATTCTCATAGGCTTCATTTCTCCACTCTTCTAGCTCCGAGAGTTGCAATAGCCACTCCTTTCCGGCTGCATCAAGGTCGAAGTTCATCTTTTTAATTGCCCAGAACGCCTTGTGCTCGATCTCAACCGGAAGGTGGCACGCCTTTCCATAGATTAGGCGGAATGGACTCATCCCCAAAACTCCCTTGTATGCTGTCCTTTGGGCCCATAGTGCATCATCGAGTCTACTCGACCATTCTTTCCTGGACGAGTTTACCGTCTTCTCAAGAATGGTCTTGATTTGCTTGTTGCTCGTCTCTGCTTGGCCCGAAGTTTGCGGATGGTATAGGGTGGCCACTCTGTGCGAAATCCCGTATTTCTTCATTAGTTTCTCAAAAATCCGGTTACAAAAGTGTCTGCCTCCATCGCTCACAATAACACGTGGGAATCCGAACCTGCTCAACACATGTCCCTGCAAAAACTCGATGACCACTTTAGCATCACATGTCCTCGTGGGGATAGCCTCAACCCACTTAGACACATAATCTACGGCGAGAAGAATATACTCAAAACCACAAGATTTGGGAAACGGGCCCATAAAATCAATGCCCCATACATCAAAGATTTCAACTTGAAGATTATTAACTAAAGGCATTTCATTTCTTGGACCAATATTCCCAATTCGTTGACAACGGTCACAAGATTTGCAAAAAATATAAGCATCTTTAAAAAGGGTCGGCCAGAATAAACCTGATTGGAGGACCTTAAGGGTTGTCTTTCGACCTCCAAAATGTCCCCCACACTGAAGCTCGTGGCAAAAGGCAAGGACATCCAGCTGCTCTTCTTCAGGCACACACCTCCGAAGGATCTCGTCTTTTCCCAGTTTGAAAAGCAACGGGTCATCCCAAAAGTAACTCCTACACATCAACACAAAGCATTTCCTCTCTTGGGAAGAGAGGTTAGACAACAAAACACCATCTGACAAATAATTAACGATATCCGCATACCAAGGAACACTAGAAACCTCACTCACATGCTCGTACGGAAAACTATCATCAATATTATTATCAAGCAAATGAGGTGAAATATCAGACGGGATGATACGAGACAAATGGTCGGCTACCACATTTTCCGACCCTTTCCTATCACGAATTTCTACATCGAACTCTTGCAAAAGTAAAATCCACCGAATGAGCCGTGGTTTGGATTGAGTCTTGCTCAAAAGATATCTCAAAGCAGCATGATCAGAATGAATAATCACTTTAGACCCTAAGATGTATGATCTAAATTTTTCAAGAGAAAACACTACGGCTAAGAGCTCTTTTTCGGTGGTCGTGTAATTAAGTTGAGCTCCATTAAGGGTCAAACTAGCATAATAAATCACACGAAGTAATTTATCAACTTGTTGACCCAAAACGGCGCCCACAGCAAGGTTCGAAGCATCACACATAATCTCAAGTGGCAACGACCAGTCAGGAGCAACAACAATAGGAGCAGTCACAAGCTTATGTTTCAATTTTTCAAAAGCATCTAGACATGCATCATCGAACACAAAAGGCACATCATTAGCAAGCAATTTACAAAGAGGTTGGCTAATTTTCGAAAAATCTTTTATAAACCTCCTATAAAAGCCAGCATGACCCAAAAAACTCCTAACTCCTTTCACATTAACAGGCGGGGGAAGATTCTCAATCACATCAATCTTTGCCTTATCAACTTCAATCCCCCGACTAGACACTACATGACCTAAAACGACACCACTTTGTACCATAAAATGACTCTTCTCCCAACTCAAAGTCAAATTACATTTAATACATCTCTCAAGGACACGAGACAAATTATGGAGACGATTAAAAAATGAAGTGCCAAATATAGAGAAGTCATCCATAAATACCTGTAAGCAATCCTCGAGCATGTCGGAGAAGATGGAGAACATGCACCTCTGAAAAGTCCCGGGTGCGTTGCAAAGGCCGAACGGCATGCGTCTGAAAGCAAAGGTGCCGAATGGGCACGTGAAAGTCGTCTTGGGCTGATCCTCCGGGGCGATGGCCACTTGATAGTAGCCCGATAGTCCGTCAAGGAAGCAATAGTACTGATGGCCTGAGAGACGGACCAGGATTTGATCAATGAAGGGCAATGGGAAGTGGTCCTTCTTCGTCACGGCATTGAGTCGCCGGTAGTCTATACACATTCGCCACCCGGTAGTGATACGAGTGGGGACCATCTCCTTTTTCTCGTTCTCGATCACGGTTATCCCTCCTTTCTTCGGCACCACGTGAATGGGACTGACCCACTCACTATCCGCCACCGGGTATATAAGCCCCTCGGAATAGAGCTTCAATACCTCCTTCTTCATGACCTCCATCATGTTCGGGTTGAGTCGTCGTTGGCTATCGCGGAACGGCTTGGCCCCTTCTTCTAAGATTATCCGGTGCATGCATGTGGCCGAGACTCTACCCAATGGCCTTTTGATTCCTCTTAAGCACGTCAAGAAGCTCTCGTTCCTCGTCTCGGTTTAGCTCGGCAAAGATGATCACCGGCTTTTTCTTCTCATCATCAAGGAAAACGTACTTGAGGTGTCGGGGGAGCTCCTTAAGCTCTAGTGGAGATGGAATTGTTGCACGGGATTCCTCGACTTCATAGAGCTCAACCGTTGGCCCTTCGTCATCTTCCAAATCGGGCATCAATCTTTCTTCAAACTCCCGTACCGTCATCTCCTCAACGAACGGGTCCATCACATCGATAAAGGCACACTCCTCGACAAAGTTCACGGAAGATGCGGAAGTGGCCTCTCGAACAGAAATAGATACGGACTCGCCTAAGACTGTCATGTTCAACGTACCGTTCTTCACATGTATGAGGGTGTTGGTGGTGGCCATGAATGGTCTGCCTAGAAGGATGGTGTGGTCCTTCCCGTTCTCCTGCACGTCCCCCACATCTAGGACCACGAAGTCTACCGGGACGATAAGCTTTCCCACACGAACAAGAATATCCTCTATGATTCCCTTGGGGTATCTGATTTGATCGGTCGGCAAGCTGTAGGCACATCCGAGTTGGCCTCAAATCTCCGAGGCCGAGCCGCTGGTAGATGGAAAATGGCATGAGATTGATCTCCGCTCCGAGGTCTAGCATCCCCGAAGCCTCTTTCCCATTCCCGAGGGAAATTTTGATGACGAAACCCCCGGGATCACGTTCCTTCTTCGGCAAGTCGTGCTGCATTGCGCTTGCCGCCTCATAGACCACCACTTTTTCTCCGTCCTCGAACCTCCTCTTCTTAGTGACCAAGTCCTTGAAGAACTTGACGTAGGATGGCATATTCTTTATCACATCAAGTAGCGGCAAATTCACATGACCTTCGAGAGCATGGTGTAAAGGTCTCGAAATTGCTTCTCCTGCTTCTCATCCCGAAGCCGGCTCGGAAAAGGTATGCGTGGCTTATATGGATTTGGGGATCTGTGCAACAGTGGGCCATCCGCCGGTTTCTCCGAATCAGCTTCCTTGGAATTTTCGATATTCTCTTCCACCTTTTTAGTCAGTTTAAGCTCCTCGGACTGATCTGACGGACCCGGCATCTCTACCCGGTTATCGACCACTTTCCCGCTTCTCAACACTGTGATTGCCTGGGCCTCCTTAGGTTGGCTAGGCAACTTCCCCTTGTCTGCTTCAGACTCGATATTGCCCACCCGAGTAGCCAGCTGGCCCACTTGGGTTTCCAAGCGTTTGATCGATGAGTCCTGGTTGGTGATGAACTGAAGGATCTTGTCCAGCTTGTCATCTTGATTTGACGAGCTTGAACCAGACCCTTGGACTTGCTGTTGTGGTTGCTGTGGTTGTTGGTAGCTCGGACGGGGGATGAAGTTGGGACGGTTTTGCTGTTGCATGAAGTTTGGGCGGGGCTGCTGTTGGTTGAAGTTCGGACGAGGTGGCTGGAGAGTATTGTTGTTGTTGGACCACGGGAAATTTGGGTGATTTCTCCACCCGGGATTGTATGTGTTGGAATAGGGGTCATTGGGTTGCCGGTTTTGGTAACCTTGGAGGGCGTTGACGTCTGTATATTGTTCTCCGACCTCCTGGTCAAACGCCGATGGGCACAACTCGGATCTATGCCCCTGAACTCCACATGCTCCGCATGTGTCTACTGCCATGGTGTGCACGGACTGGCCTCCTCGTGCATTCATTAGCCGCATTTGCTCGGTGAGTTCGGCTATTTGCTGGGCCATCATATCTTGAGCAGAAGATACCTCGTTGACCACGACCCTTTTCCCTCGATTGCTCTTTTGAGACGAATTAGCACTCATCGTCTCAAAGATCTCATACATCTCGTCGGCCGTCTTTGCACCGATGTCCCCCCCTGCAGGGTTGTCAACCATGTATTGCAAATTCTGGTTGAGGGAGTCGTAGAAACAATTCATCAGTAGTCCCGATGAAAGATTATGATGGGGACATTGTCGCTGGAGATCCTTGAATCGCTCCCAGGCCTCGTGAAGAGGCTCACTCGGTAGTTGGGCAAACGAGACGATCTGTGACCGGAGCTCCTGAGTCTTCTGATGGGACTAGTACCTCCCAATAAACTTCGTGTAAACCTCGGTCCAGGTAGTCAGAGATGCCGGTGCAAGTGTCATGAACCAGGCCTTGGCCCGGTCCTTCAGTGTCTCGGGGAAACACCTCATCTTTAACTGGTCCTCATTCAGCCCGTTCAGGGGGAAAGTGTTGAGGACATTGTAGAATTCCCGGATGAAGTTAAGCGGGTCTTCGCTCAGGAGCCCATGGAATGCCGGCAGCTGGTTGTAATGAATCATTGTTAGCTCATAATTTCGTGCGGGTTCTGGTAAACAGATACACGAAGTGACTGGCCCGATAACCGGCTGGGCCAAGGTTCGGAGGGTGTTACGAGGCGGTTGTTGCTGTTGCTCATCCATGTTGACGTTACTGCCCTCTGACGATTTCGGGGAGTGCTCGTCTCTTTCGTTAGATTCGAGAGTAAGCTCTTCCAGCAGCTCCCTCAGGCTCTCGTTCACTGATTTGTTGATCGGAGATAGCAATTTGCGTCCACTCCTGGTACGCATACACTAAGACCAACAAGGGTTACGAGCACCAATGATAAGAAAAAAAAAATAAAAATAAACAAGAACTAACACCTAACAAATAAAAAGAAATCAAGAGAAACACGGAAACAAGAAAAATCACAAGAAATAAGAGAAACACTCAAAACAAAATGAATAGGCGCACAAAATAAGTCCTAAACCTTCCCCGGCAACGGCGCCATTTTGTTGTAATAATTTTTACCGGAGTTAAATCAAAAGATTCGAACACCGGGTCGTGTCTCAAGGAAGGTTAGCCGGATAATTTCGTACGTATGTTCAATCACAAGAAGAAAAATTAAATCCTAAACACTCTAGCTCAATTGGTTGGTTTGAATTATCAACTATGCGATTAACAACTAATGGCACTCAAACAAGAAATTCCAATTTGACACTCCAAAAACACAAGATAAAGAATGATAAGATGACTAGGGAGTCGGGGACAATCGTTTCCGGTTCTCAATACATTAAATGACAATCAATCACTCGGCCAAAGGAAACGAAAAACGCATTCATTCAGAGATTCATCCTCAATAACTCACATAACAAGAGAACAAACATAAATGAACAATTATCGAATCAATCAGCACGTAGACAATACGTCTCCGAACAAGTCTATTCTAAACGAGCCTAGATCAATCGATCCCTCCCCTTTCAGTTCTAAGGATCGATTTAGTGGATTAAAAAGGTGATCAATCAATTCAACCCTAGATTTAGCACAACTCGAATAGATTGAGCAATCAACATTCATACAAACGAAATTGAACCGGAACAATTATCCCCTAGCCCTAGTTAACGAATTTAGCTACTCATCACAAGTCCAACATCAACATTCATATGAAGCAAAGACATATCACTCATTAATGAAATAAGAGAGAAACTTACGATTAATATGAATCCAATGTTGAAGAAACAAGGAGCAATCCAAATTTAAGAGTTGAATCTTGGTGTTTTCACAATCCAAGATCAAATTCTATCAAAACTAAGAGAAATATTTGTTCTGGAGTGAATAAAAACGAGAGAGAGTCTAAACCTAGGTGAAGGAATGAATGAAAAACTGAACAAAATCGCACATAAAAAAATTCTGCTGTCGCGACCTCCGCGGCCGCGACTTAGCCCTCCGCGGCCGCGGCGAACAACATCTCGCGGCCGCGACCGTCTCCGCGGCCGCGACCTCCTCGAGCCAGAAATTGGAATTTACGTGCATCTCGCGGCCGCGACTTCCTCTTCTCCGCGGCCGCGGCGAAGAATTTCTGAACTTTGGTTTTCGGGTTCGTCTTCTCTCATCCAGACTCGGAATTTGATCCCGTCTTCTCCAACACGACCCCAACTCATCCATCTAGACAGTAGACCTCGCATAGTCATACACCGAGCCACCAAACCTGCACATCACCACCGACAAGAAATACGGAAAACCGGGAAAAACGAACAAAAAGACCAAAAACGACTAAAACAAAGGATAAGTACGAGATGACTCGAAACGGACCAAAAACCAATGAAAAAATACCTAAGTAGAGGAAAAACAAGCATGAAATAAACAAAGAAAACATGACAAAAGTGGAACGAACACAGTTCCCTAATGCTAATAAATCGATATCATGCAGACAATGTTGTTACCCAAGATACGGAGCATTATGAACCATTACTTGGTTATCACCCATGGTAAATCAAAAGTAACAAAAAAATATCCCACATATCTAAGTATCACAATTAGAGTTAAGAATTAGTAGAGTTTCATGACAGTCAGAATAGAAGAACATGTCTCAACTGGGATCCTTTCAATGCGACGCAGCGCGCTAGTATGAACCTATAGCCAAGATAAGCTATATCCAGTTTATACTACAACTTAAACCGGTAGTCATGTCCATAAATATCTCAGTTGTGAATACCATTTATATCTTATAAGGGACCGACAATGTAATCTTCTGTGTGACTACTAACACACCATATTGTCTACAATATAAGATAATTGGACATTTACCATACAAGCAATCATAAAGAAAGCAACAATGTGAAAACATTTATTTCAGTAAAATGGGAAATCGAATAATTACAATCTAAATGCTCACATAAAAGTTTGTTTTACAGTATATTCCAACAATTCCATCCTGTCGTTAAGAGAATTTTGGATGTTAAGAAAACTATGAAACATGATTATGGTTGCTCCTTTAAACAAATATGTCACCACCTTGTTCCACTTTATGCATTAGTTAGTAAGTAAACTGATAAAAAAAAACATCATTCACCACAAACAAAGAACATTAAAAATCTGTAACCAAAGCCCATTTACGAAAATCAAATTGCCAAGCGTTAGCCACTAAAAAATTATAAAAGTCCAACATAAATTTGTTGCTCTTCGTCTAACCTCTGTTTCAAGCCTTTCAACTTTCTCCTGCAACGCCTCCCGATCACGCCTCTCCAGAGCCGCCACATCCAACAACCCAACCTCCCGAAACCTTCTCCAATCCTCCATATTTGGCGGCGGCGGTGGAGGGATGTCGATTAGGGCTACCACCTTATCTTTGCCAGTAAGGTATAAAAGAAACCCTATTGTAAAATTAGTGCACGCTAAGGGTCAGAAGGGAAATGACTTTTTACGGTTCTTAAAGTTGAAGGGTATGTGAAGTTTGTTGGAGAAACATGAAAGATGAACGGAATATCGGGATACCTAGAAATGGTGTGTTGGGAGAAAAAACAGAGTGTTTTAGATCTCGTTTTTCCGTTTCTGAAATGGTATTATGGGTTGAAAACAGACACCGTAGCAAAAGTTATGGCCAAAATAATTTTCGCCGATGAAATCGCCATCGGTAGACGCTGAACCCTAGCTGCCGCCTCCAGATCGCCCATCTTCATCGTGTTTGTCCTCACAGCAACAAATTACAGTAAAATACGAACACAACAACCCTATTACAATCTACAAAATCGCCTACACTACCCACGCTTATTATTTGGTGCGAAAAACGATTACAACAACAGACAAGGGTTGCGATAGACATCAAACTAAGGAATAATCGAAATAAATTCATCCACACCATAAACATGATTGAAAACGAATACACGAAATCAACTACATGTTTCAGTCAGAGCCGATAATCCACGAAACCGCGGCTCTAATACCAATTGCTGGAACACGCTGACGAGGCGGTCCATCCCACGGATCGATATCGGATACAAAACATGTACATATATGATTTCGAATAACCCTAGGCATGCTTCTAAAGGATGAATAAAGAATTTACCTTTCTTCGAGGCTTTGATTCGATCTGAGCGATCTTCTAGTCTGTGTCCCGACCACATTTGGACGCCGGATGGGCAACGATCTACCAAACGGTTGAAAAGAGTGGATTGGTTTCGTTCTTCTCTGAACCCCTCACGTTTTCCATCACATTGTTGTGGTAGCTGAAGACGTGATGTAATCTTTTAGGGTTCGAGAACATGTGCAATCCCTCTTTTTATAGAGGTCCTTGGGCCAGACTAGGGATCTCTTAGAAGAGATAGGGTTTGGGTTTCCTACGGGCCCAAATTCTTATGTTCAGCCCAGAACACAATTTATCCCGTATATATTAATTCATTCCACTAGAGAATTAATATTGCACTCCCGTCCTATCCCGAAATGAATCATGGCTTCTATTAGACTCGATATAATTCCCCGTGTTTAAGATATCGCACGTCCATTAATTATTAAAGCTCCTGACTGTTTTAATTAATTAATATCTTTTATTCCTTAAGTAGTAGCACTCAACTTTATTATTGTACGGATTAAATCCACCTGCAGGGTTTGATACGATATTCCTTATGAGTTCCTTAAGGGGACGTCATTAACCTGGATGTCCAGGACACAGTTCCCTAATGCCAATAAATAGATATCATGCAGATAATGTTGTTACCCAAGATACGGAGTATATTGAACCAATACTTGGTTCTCACCCATGGTAAATCAATGTAATAAACAAATATCCCACATATCTAAGTATCACAATTAGAGTTAGGAATTAGTAGAGTTTCATGGCAGTCAGAACAGAAGAACACGTCTTAACTGGGATCCTTTCAATGCGACGCAACGCGCAAGTATAAACATATAGCCAAGATAAGCTATATCCAGTTTATACTACAACTTAAACCGATAGTCATGTCCATAACTATCTCAGTTGTGAATACCATTTATATCTTATAAGGGACCGACAATGTAATCTTATGTGTGACTACTAACACACCACATTGTCTACAATATAAAATAATTGGACATTTAGCATACAAGCAATCATAAAGAAAGCAACAATGTGAAAACATTTATTTCAGTCAAATGGGAAATCGAATAAATACAATCTAAAAGCTCACATAAAAGTTTGCTTTACTGTATACTTCAACAATTCCATCTTGTCGTTAAGAAAATTTTGGATGTCAAGAAAACTATGAAACATGATTATGGTTGCTCCTTTAAACAAATATGTCACCACCTTGTTCCACTTTATGCATTAGTTAGTAAGTAAACTGATAAAAAAAAACATCATTCACCACAAACAAAGAACATTAAAAATCTGTAACCAAAGCCCATTTACGAAAATCAAATTACCAAACATTAGCCACTAAAAAATTATAAAAGTCCAACATAACTTTGTTTCTCTTCGTCTAACCTCTGTTTCAAGCCTTTCAACTTTCTCCTGCAACGCCTCCCTATCACGTCTCTCCAGAGCTACCACATCCAATAACCCAACCTCCCGAAACTTTCTCCAATCCTCCATATTTGGCGGCGGCGATGGAGGGACATCGATTAGAGCTATCATATTATCTTTGCCAGTAAGGTATAAAAGAAACCCTAAGGACATAGTCTCATATGGGGGGACTTATGGTGTATGGGGGGGAGATTTCAATGATATCCTTTCTAATTTTGAAAAAAAAAATGGGGGTTTGTTGAGAAAGGAGTCCATTTTCACTTGTTTTATGAACTTTGTCAGAGGTTTGGGTGTTGTGGAAACCAAGTTCAAAGGTCATCCTTCACTTGGTCCAACAACAGGAAAGGTAGTGACTATAACACCCCGCCTTCTACTCCTAGGCTTTTAAAAATTAGAGTTAAATTTTTTGCTTTTTATTTTCGAAAAACGCTATCTTTATTTTTGAAAATGCTAATACTGACTCGCGGGATGTTACTAGACTTTACTGCTTTTCTTATCTCTTTCTCATGCAAACATAATAAATACATGTAAACTAATCAAATCCATTATATAAAGCTACCATGGAGATAAAGGCATTACACATGTATAAGAGTTGGGTGCGAGATTGGCCCGAGAGCGCATTGGTTGGCGCGTTCATTGGAGGACTTAAAGCCGAGCTAGCGGCTGAGGTACGATTGGATAGGCCGCGAACAACTCGGGCGGCAATAGAGTCGGCACGGCTACGCGACGACCATTTGGTCGCGATGCGCAAGGCCAGCAAAGGTGATAGACGCACGGACCCGCGGCGCACAAGTACCGCGACCGACGAGACGCCCACATGGGTCGAGTCCAAGTCAACCGAAGATGGCGCATGAACCACGAGCCATATGCGACGGCTTACGACTGAGGAGATCCAACGAAGGCGTGAGAAAGGCTTATGCTTCACTTGCAATGAGATGTTCACACCGGGCCATAGATGTGTTGGAAAGCAAGTGTTCTTGCTTGAGTTTGATGAGGACGAGCCGGAACATGAAGAGTACGAGCACAAGGAGACCTTGCTACATGTGATTAAAAGCAAGAAAAGGGATGCTGAGAGAGGTCCGAGGATGATCCGATTCACGCCGACCGTACAAGGCGAACAGCTCGAAGTACTAGTGGACAGTGGATTGACATTAAATTTAATAGACAAAGAGTTGTCCAAAGGCTTGGAAACGCCGATGACAAAAGTAAAGCAGTTCGGGGTGAAGGTTGCCAACGGAGATGAACTAAGGAGTTCCGAGCTATACAAAGGAGTTCCCATATTTGCGCAAGGATTTGACTTAAAGGCTGATCTTTATGCCTTACCTTTGACGGGACCGGACATAGTATTGGGAGTTCAATGGCTCGAGACATTGGGGCCTGTCACGACAAACTACAAGAGGGGCACTATGACGTTTGGACGAGCCCAGAAGCGAATCAAGCTGCTAACTGAGGACCCAGGAAAAGAGCCCGAAGAACTTGACGAGATCAATTACTTTATCCTTGAGGATAAGGAAATTCTCGAAGAGGGCGAGAATGATGCGGATGTGGTCATGGACCCCGATGAACACGAAGACGAGGACCACGATGGCCTCGAAAGATGGCGAGAGGTTAGGCGAGAAAGGGCTCGGGCACGGGCTAGGAGGGTGTGCGCACGCACTAAGGCGCGTATACCGACGGGACGCGGCAACCGAGCCGCGAAGCGTGCGAGTCTAGGCCGGGTGAAAAAGAGGTGCGCGACGAGAAGTGCGCGTGAACACGAGGCTTGGGCCGACGACGAAAGTGAGGCGATCATGCCCGGGAAGGTGGGTGATTGGTGCAAGGCGTGCGCAAGAGAGCGACGCGCACGACGTATGCAAGCTAAGGCAGAAGGTGCACGAGGGGAGGATGTAGGGTGGACAGTGTGCACGGGGCGTGGCTGCGATGGAGCGGACGTGCGAGTGGACTGGGTCGAGGCGATGGGCCCGATAGGCGGGTGTGAGTGGGGCACGAGGACGGAAGTCACGCACGAGGCGTTGGTCGAGTGGGTCGATGAGGGCGATGACGTGGTCATGCGTAACACACGCGCACGTGGCTGGGACGCGACCAATGCTGTGAGCGAGCGAGGAAGTGAAACCGAGAGAGGGGACGTGCGCGACACTCGCGCGAGGGACGAACACGCACGGGCGCTGGGACTCGAAGACATGACGCGAGAAGGATGCGCGCGTGTGGGAGGGACGCGAGCGATGCCTTGCGCGACCAGGACTAGCGGGCGGTGCAAATGGCGCGCGCGCGTTACCGCGCGCAAGGAGGAATAGACATAGCAAGGCGGCGCGACACGGGCGGCTAGGGTTTGGCACGCGATTGTCTTGCCGAGCAAGGAAGGGATTTGGCACGTGATTTCATAGCTTAGTTAGGAGTCTTAGTTTGGTTAGGAGTCCAAATAAAAGCCATGTGCCTATTAGTTTCCTATTAGTCTTTTAATTGTTAGGAAAGTCCATATTTCCTAGATATCTAGTTGCCTTAGGATTTATTTATTTACTTGCATTAGGAGTTCTATTTAGACTAGGATTAGAATTGTTTGGGCATCTATAAATACCCATGTACTCTCATAATTTCGAATATGTTGATGAGTGAATAGAAAAGAGTCGAACATTGTGTTCAAAGTTCTCGTGTGTTTTCTCCTGTGAGTTTACATAGAGTTGGTGAATGGAATAGGACCAACATCCGGGTTTCTTCACAGTGATAGAAATAGGACCAACATCCGAATTTCATCACACCTATCGCGAAGTACGAAGGTGTCGGCGCGCGTATTAGCATCTTATTGCGAAGGGACCAAGGCGTCGGCGCGGGTTTCGAGCAAGTCGAGCTAGACGTAACACACGATCCTTCATCACCGATGCGGTCCTAGGCGCTGCTGGGCGCGGGCAAGTGTGGCTGGCACGGGCCCTGGCACGACTGGTGCCACTAGGTGCTGCTGTGCACAGTCTGGTGCTGCTGGGCGCGAGCCCGGCACTGCTGGTGCCATTCGGGTGCAACTGGACACTACCGAGGCCAACTAAGGTGCTGGCGTGCTTCTGGGCACGGCTGGACTCGGGTCTGGCACTGCTGGGTGTGAACAGACACGCTGGGCTCGGGTCTGGCACTGCTAGGTGCGTACAGACACGGCCAGGCACTACTCGCGCGTCTATGGCGCGGCTATGGGTTGCTAGGGCGCTGTCGAGCAACCCTGAGGCTGACTGGGCACGCGGTCGTGCTGCTGGGCACGTTCTGAGGCGAACTGAACATATGGAACACGACTTAGGTTCACTCTTGGCACGGCACAAGCTGTTGGGCTTGTAACACGCACATTGGCACTGGACAGTGCTATCGGGCGCTGTTGGAGGTAGCTGGGCGCGAGTGGCGCGAGACCTCACTTGCGGACACGGACAGGCGCTGCTGGGCGCTGTCGCGTGCGCTAGGGCTACAGGGCCTCGCGCCTGCTAGGCGCGGGCACAGACAGAGGCGCTGCCTAGCCTCTACGACACTACCTGGTGATTAGAATGTACCTTTCGATGCCCGAGCACGCCAAGGGCCAAGGGACGAGACGACCTGAGAAGGCCGACGAAAGGGTCAAAACCACGCAGGCATGGCCTAAGAGACGGGTGCGAGCCTGTATGCGAGGCACAACAAGTGCAAAGGAGCAGGCCAACGAAGGTCGTGCATGGAGGCGCGCGAGGGTACACGTGAAGATGCGCATCCATCAGCGCGAGCGGGTGCGCGAGATGATCCGACGGCAAGGGCGCGAACACGCACATTGGCGTAGACATGCATGGTCGAGACCCGGGAAGCCGACAGGGTCGAGCCTGCAAGGACGAGCATGCGGCACGAGGGGTCGCAGCCAAACGGGCCAAACATGAAGGTCAGATGGTGGACTCTCGGATGGTCGACACTCGCGAGCTCGAACGGACCTATCACGTGGTCGACACTCCGCTAGGTCGATCAGGCAGCAGGACGAACAGATGGACGGTGCTCGCGGTGTCGAGGACGCGCATGGTCGAAGTCGGAGGAGTCGAGGCAGTCGACACAAAGTGCAGCGGGGCGATGACGAGCCCGCAACGTCAAGCTCTAGAGGGTCGAGCGCCACGCGAAGGTCGACTAAGGCAAGAGGGACTTGGACACGTGCTCGAGACCGAGCTTCTCAAAGTCGGACACAACGTAGACGCATGGGATTGGACTTAACAGCACGTATGGGACTGGACTTAGCAAGAGTAGTCCGGTCGAGCCCAGGTGTTGGCAAAGGGTCACACGAGGAAGCACGCAGAGGCGTACGCGGGCGTGACGCGCAAGCACACGAGGCGAGCCGTGCGAGCCGAGGAGCAAAGATTCCAGATAAATATAATTAGATTAATTATGTAATTTGTCTTTTATTATTTTATTATTAGCGTGTGTTAGTATATATATTAATTAGGCGTTAGTTTGTTACGTTACTATATATTATTAGTAGTTGTTGGATTTGTTAGTTAGTATTGCCGTAAGTGGCAACTTTATTTTGTCAAGGAATTAGTTAGTTTAGGTTGTTAAGTTAGAATAGGATATTTAATTGCCGATAGTTATTTTATTAGTGGTTAGGATATTTAATTAGATTAGTAGAAATTAGTATTTAATTATTTGTTAAATCTTGGGATGCAAGACATTTAGTTACCTTAGGACTATATATTATTTCCTAGTTAGAATTATAGCTCCTATAGGACCAGATCTAGTTTTTTTTATTTTTATAAATACCCAATGTAAACTCATTCTATTTTAGATGTGACTTGGGTTAATGAAAAACCCGACCATTGGTCAAAATCTTTTGTGCTACAATTCTTTCTTGAGTTTTAGTGCAAATTTTATTCGTTTCAAGAGGCGCTCACGTGGCTCGCGAGACACCTATCGTGCGATTTAAGGCACGGTAGCGGCTTGTCGATAGTCGGAACACACGATCTTCATCACATGGGCACGACGCGCGCTACTTGCGCGGCTGGTGACCTCGACCGGTCCTTGCCGGACCTCCGGCCACTTTTTCCGGTGAAAATGGACTCCACCCAACATATAATGATATGAGACACATAAAAATGCCAAGAATCGCTATGAGACCTCGGTTGGATTTTAAC